CCGCTCAAATTCTACCAAAGCATTCATGCAGAGGAACAAGTACAACGTTCTGGAATGGCCATCTCAGTCCCCAGACCTGAATATCATTGAAAATCTGTGGTCTGTTTTAAAGTGGGCTGTCCATGCTCGGAAACCATCAAACCTGACTGAACTGGAGATGTTTTGTAAAGAAGAATGGTCAAAAATACGTTCAACCAGAATCCAGACCCTCATTGAAAGCTATAGGAAGTGTTTAGAGGCTGTTATTTCTGCAAAAGGAGGATCTACTAAATATTGATGTAATTTTTCTGATGGGGTGCCCAAATGTATGCACCTGCCTACTTTTGTTTAAGTAATTATTGCACACTTTCCGTAAATTGTATAAACTTAAATATCACTGTTTGTTTGTTATATGATATATTTAATTGAAATTGCTGTTCCGATCAACCAATGATCCATAAAGGAAAATCTTGAAAATGATCAGGGGTGCCCAAACTTTTTCATATCACTGTATATGTATATAAACTTACAGAGGCTGCTACAGAAACACTACACCAGAATATTAATTAAACATGTAGCGCAGCTATCAGGTGTGGAGGGAGCTGAGGACGACAAAACTGAAAGAGGCGTTTAATTATAAACAGGTTGGAACATAAAACAATGTAATTGGTCACTATGGCATTGGTCAAAGGCTTTTATCTCCATCACAAGATGCCCCATGGGTCGCTCCTCCTCCTCAGTCTCATGACAGGGGAACAGCCCAGTCCGACCATTTCAGAAGATAGAAATACATTAAAATTCCCGTGTGGGAAATGAACAGTTCATCGTAAGACTTATTTGTAAATGTCAACTGACTTACCAAAGATACGTTTATTCCCTTTTGATGTCGTATTTCACCTTGTTTTCCGTTCAATGATCCACTGAGCATCTAGCGTCGCTTCTCGTTTGGTGAAGCGGATCCTGATGATAGAAGTTTACAGGAACACCAATCAGAAACCGAGATTAAAATGTATCTCCTGCCTTGAGAAGTTATTGGTTAGAAAAACGACAAACGAAGACTAGTAATACGACTTTGATTGGACTGTGCAGGGAAAAGGGTGGAAAGTACCCAAGAATCTTGCCACTGATTGGCTAAGGCGAGGAGCTGGTCTGACATTTTGTTCAAGGATCCGATTTCATCTTGTGTTGTTTTCTTGCAACATTTAGGACAGTTCATGAAATCTCTTTATACATAAACAATACTATAGCTACAATTTAGTCCAGATTAATTACAATTTGACATGTGATTGATGCTTCATAAATGTGTAATCACACGACCGTAGTGGTTTATTTTTTTGTAAATAGTTGACATTTTTGAGTGGAAATGCTGTATCATTTCACTTTAAATGTTACGTCAACACGTGTAGTTTTGGAATTATTAGTTAAGTAATGTTGTGGTAAGGTTTTACCACCCCGGATTCGTTGATCAAGAACTTTCACAAAGTATAAAGAAAAGACAAAAGTCGTTGCTCGAGTTCGCCTGTGCACAGGGAGGGACCAGCGGAGAGTCAGGGGGTCGACTGCTGAATCCTGCTCTCTCCACAAACTCAGGCTCGTTTTATTGACACACACGATACAGACTTCATTTGTTCTACACACACATATCCATTCTTTTTGGCAACTACATCTACACCGTTGGTTTCTCATCCCGTTCTTAT